GTGTAGTTCATCTTTGCAACCCAGATAGCAAATCGCAGAGCTGTATATTATAGGTAGCACTCAGAATTTTAGAAGTAACTTTTCCTACAGTTAAATTTCATAAATTGCTATCAAGGTGTTTAAATTACAAATGGATACAGCATAGGAAGTTTGGAAGACAGCAGAATTTGTGAATCTTAATTAATTTAAGGGAAACAAATTTCCATTTGTATTTAGAGGTGACCAATTTCAAAGCTAAAGTCCTCTTAATCAGCAAGCTTTTGTAACGAATTGCAGCAAGATTTATATAAAAAAGAACTCCCCTGATCATTAAAGGACACAGCTGAATACAATTAAAAGATCACTTGTGAGCTGAACGCAGTGCCTTTGCTGCATTCTTGGAGAGTATACTTAATAAAGAAGAATCAGTGACACTTTAATGAGAAATTTGAACTCATTGACCCTGGATCTCAGAGTTCATCAATACTCATTAGCAAGATTTTCTTTTCTTTTTAAATTTATTTAGTTTTAATCTTTTTAGAATTTTTTATAAAATTAGTAGTTTTCACATTTTTTATAATAAGCATAGGGCCCCTCACTCTCCTTTCCCCTTTCTTATCTCTCCCTCTTATTGCTTTCCCCAAGTTATTACACTAGCATAGGCATTCATTTCACAGTAACAAGCTTAGCTTTCTGTTATATAAATGTATATGTATGCCTGGATGTATGTATGTAATGAAATGGCAAGTAAAGGAAATAGAAAATAAGCTAAACTAAAATGGAAGTATAAAAAACAAGAATGGAAACCCCATTGTTACACAGTAGTGTAATAGTATAATTAACTGCTGTATACAACATTTAATCCCAAGTGTGCTAATCTCACTGAGACAGCATTTATTATGTTCTGTGTATTAGTTGCACAAGATCAGAGGAAACATATTTGTCTTTTGGAGACTGGATTATTTCACTAAGCATAATGATTTACAGTTGGGTTCATTTTCTTGCAAATGGTTCAGATTTTATTCCTTTTTGTGACTGAATGGTATTCCATGGTGTATATGTACATTTCTATTTTGTTTATTCATTTGTCCCTTGATGAGCATCTGGATTGTTCCATATTTTAGCTACTGTGAATTGTGCTGCTATAAACATGAGACATTTTTCAAATGGCTAATACTTATATAAAAACATACTCAGTTTCTCTACCTATTAGGGGAAAGCAAATAAAAACCACAGTGAGGGTACCAGTGGACACACCACGCTGGCAGAGTAGGCCTGGGGGACATGTACACATGCCTAGATCCAAGACAGGCAGGTTGGGCTCCAGGCCAGCATGCTACCCCAACAGAAGGCCAGGCTTGGGAGGCTTGAGGGCTTTAGGATTGCTCAGGGAAGGGTATCTGGGGTTGTGTGGGAGGGTAGGCCACTGAAGGAAAATATGGCTGGTAAGTAAGGACTTCTAGAGGACTTCACTGACAATTCTGCTGCACTTGCAGATTAGGGAGATGGCTGTGACCAGGTAATTTGAAGGAGGGAAACAAGAGGACCTTTCTGGGTCAGACCAATGTACCCACCCATGTGAGAGACCGCTGTCATTGACCACTATCAGCCATTGACCACCACCCAGTGGCACACATGAAAGTTAGGTCAAGGGGACCTGTGTGGCAGAGCTAGACCACAATATCTGCCATATACCTGGTGTATTTATTTATTCCATTTTTTAAATGTTTTATAATCTTCCTCATAAAGATAGTTCACATCTTTAGTTAGATTTATTTCAAGGTATTTAAGTGTCTTCTCTGTTATTTTGAAAGGTACCATATTGACTACTTCTTTTCATCCCTGGAGTTGTTTGTATACACTAGGACCATTGATTTGTGTTCCTTTAGTTTGTACCCTGTCACTTTACCAAACTCTCCTGTAAGTTTTAGCAGTGTCCTTATCAAGTCTTTGTGTTCTCCTCTGTATAGAATCATGTCATATAAAAACTGAGACAGTTTGACTTCCTCTTTTCTAGTTTGATTTCCTTTCATTTCCTTTTCCTGCCTACTACTTCTAGTGAGGATTTACAGTACTATGTTGAATAGGAGTGGCAATAGCTGACATCTTTGTCTAGTTCCAAATATTACTGGGAAAGCTTCCAATCTTTTGTGAAATGTCACAGATTCATGGCTTTCTTAGCCCAACCAAATCCAAGCACCAGTGATCAGGCACCCATGAGACTGGGTAATTCAATGAAAAGACCATTTTTGTAGGTCTGATAGATTTTTTAAAAATTAAGAAGTATTACTGTATTCTTATGGAAATCTCTTTTTTATTCAAATAAAAGTCCTTGATAAAAATAGGATTCAATTCTTTCATGGCTGACTAGTATTCCTTTTTGTAGCTACAATAAAAATTCTTTATCCGGTCATCAGTTGTTGGATATTTGGAGACGATTAAGCTCAATGAAATATGCCAGAACCAAGAAGGCAAATATGTGTTTTCTCACATTGTGCTAGCTAGAATAGAGTACCCCAAAAAAATGTGTTTGGGTGAAATTGACATCTTGAGATTTGATTCTTACTTACATACTCCTGCAAAATAATGGTCTTTCTATTTTCTACTTATTTAATTCTTTACTTAGTGGAGGATTAAGGCTGTGATTATAAAGTTTTTTGAAAATATGTTATTGAAAAGATTAGAAGGAAAATTAGGGGCCTGAACAGTGATGTGCTGAGCTAATCTTCTTGCCTGTGGCGCCAGCAACCCATACTGCCCCCATTCTTGTCATGGCTGCCTCATTTCCAATATAGTTTTCCATTTATGGTTTGGGAAAACAGTAGAGGATCGTCCAAATCTTTTGGACCTTGCACGTGTGTGAGAGACCTGGAAGAAGCTCCCAGCTCCCAGCTTCAGATAAGCTCATATCTGGATATTGTGGCCATTCAGGGAATGAATAATGGAGAGAAGACCATTTCTCTCTGTCTCTCCTTCTTTCTCTGTAAAGTCTGCCTTTTAAATTAAAATTCAAAAATTTTTGAAAAGAATAAAGTGAAAGGAAGAATGGAGACAGTGGGAAGAATTATGTGTTTAAACTTGTGTATAAGAAATATGCAATCTGTTCTCTTGAAATAAATAAACCTGATTTTAACTAGAACCCTATATTCTAAAACTAAGGCCCAGGTAAACAATGATCCCAGGGCATGCATTTGGCATACTGATTTCAACATCAATTGGGATGTTGTGACTAGATTTGATATCGATCTCTGCTCCTGACTCCAGATTCCTGTTCATGTGTGTCTTAAGGAACAACAGGTTATGGTTCAAGTATTTGAGTTTCTGTCACCCCCATGGGAAGCCAGAATTACAACCCTACTCCAGGCAGCAACTCATTCCTGTCCTGGTCACTCTACCCCACCCATTTCATCATTTTAGAGGATTGTTCCAGGAGATGGCAGTCTCTCTCTCCTTTTCTCATGAATAGATTTTAATATTGAATGAGAAACAATGATACTGATTATTTGAAGAAGTAGCTCTTACTATCACTATTTTATTGCCAAAAAAATAATATATATCCCAAGGAAATATGCTAGGTTGGTTCCTAAAAACTACTTAAAAAAACCTAATTCTGCTAATGAATCAGCAGCAGCATTCTACCTAGCTCGGTGATCTCTACTCTTTCAGGATCACACTGGTGGATAGGAGAGTAAAAGGCCCCCATCAAGGATGCAAAAACAACAGCCACTGAAAAACATGATTTTCCTTAACTGTTCCTCCCCAGGTGAGGTCTCTGCTGCTTCCAATTCTGTCCCAGGGTGACCACTGTCTTGTCCCTTGCCAGCTCTCTTTGGAAGAGAGCTCAAATCTACCAGGACCGAATTTCTCCCTCAAATCCAAATTGGTGATTTTCTAACATTTCTTTCCATCTCCAAATAGTTGCACTCCCATTAAATACCTGTTAGTGTAGTCTCTAACTTAAAACATACCTCTCAAATCCACGGTAAGTTCACTATCTGTCACCTAATGAAGAACAATTTCATTAGGTTAATCATGCCTTTCTCGCTGTGTGTGACGGCCTTTCCTAATGTTCCCTTCCCACACCAAATATGATCATTCACACGGTCAGGCCTCAGCCAGATTAATGCTGGTCTGAAATGTCATCAGTATTCTTCATCACAGTTCTGAATCCATAATTTTAAGAATTCTGCCTAAACTGGGTTGTTTTTGCCTGAAGAAAAAATGCTGCCAGTTTATTAGGAAATTATACTTGCTCTTTTCAACTGGAGATTAGAATTCTGACTAACTATATGTTATGCTAACGTGAAGAAATAGAAAAGCACTCCATCTGAAGAGTCAGGTATCCAGTGATTTTGCTATGCTCTTTAACAGGCACAAATTTCAGCAGGCAGATGGATCTCTCATAGTATGTTTCAGAAAGAAACACTGAATCCAGTGCTTTGTGACAATACTACTTATAGGTAGCCACCTTATCAATCTTCTGTGAGAGGTTGTTTTAATTATACCCAGGAAGCCCTGGGACTGGTAACAGGTCTATAAATAAGAGTTTTGATTTTTTTTTTAACTGAGAGACTCCATATAATATACCAAGGAATCTCCTTTGTTATTCTCACTCAAAGCATTTTTCTGATGATTGAGTCCAATTTTAGAATCATTGGCTCTGACCTAATGAAATGCAAGCTAGCAATTGATTGACACAATTGCAAATATTAAAATCTTTCATGAGTGGCTGTAATTTTTGTCTCTTTCCGTACCTCACATAATTTGTTTCAGATTGCCTGACAATGAACAAAGCTTACACATGATCAGCAATCAGAGAAATACAGAGCAATGTACTTATTAGTAAAGCAGATTAGCATGGCTTGAATCAAGAATCCACAGTGGAGTCAAGATCCAGACTGATGGCTCATTTTGAAGCCCTGATTTTGGTCATAAACTGCCTGTCTTTGATGTCACTGTTGCAGTGATGTCTGGTTCTGTTGCCTTTGCCTGATATTTAAAGTATTTCTATTTTGTTTCAGCTGGCAGGGTTCATCTACGCCTGTTATGTTGTGAAATGTATAACTGAAGAAGAGGACAGCTGTAAGTATTAAAGCTCTCTTCTGCTTCTTTCAAGTTCAGAGATTCTTCTTTACCACCTATTCTAACCTTCCTACCCATTAGACAATGTTACTCGTCACATCATTAGAATGTATAACAAGCCTTTGGTGGCCACTGGGCTAAAGTGTTTTCCATAAATGAGTTCAACATACTGAAACAAATGGAAGACTCATTCACTTTGAAAACATGTTTTTTTTATTTCAATGAAAAATAGGTTAAAAGATATTTCACTTTTAAAAATTCTAGTGAAGAATATGAAAGATGAAAGATGGAGTTTTTTCTAAACATGGTTAGCATGAATATTTTTATAAGTTTTATGCACAAAGCTTCAACACTCAGGCCTTGCATTTGGACAGCAGCCCCTCTCAACAGCTTCAAGATGGTCCCATAGTCCACTGCTCCTACAAACATGGCTGACAAAAGTTTTCACTCCTTATTTGTTCCTGAAGATCTGAAATAGGATTGGGGAAAGAACCTCTGCACTTTCTGGATTTGCATGCATATTTGCCCTTGAATGAATCAGAGAGGAGTCTTTTTTCTTGTTTTCTAAACATATTAAGATTGGATTTTGGAAAGATGGGGTAGGGAGAAGGGTGATAATGAGACCCATTACTCTTTTATACAATGATTTGAAATTTTAAAAATCTGAAGAATTGTGTTTCTGATTCATTTCTAACCATATTAACAAAAAGAGGCATTATAAACGATTCAAGATATATTTTCAATCTCACACATCTATGATGTAAACATCAGGAATATAAAGTAGGTAACTTATGCTGCTTTTAAAAAAAGCAAATGGCGACATTTTTGCTAAATAAGCATTTGTAAAAAAAAATCAGTGCATCAAGTGTGATGTCAGGTTTTTGGTATATAAAGATGAATAATAACACAATTTTTTTGCCTTTTTTGAACTTTGTATGTGAACTTTCCATTAGGTGTTTCAGATGAGTGGAGCTTCCCCTTCTTGAAAACCTAAATCCCAAAATGTTCCTAAGTATATTGACATGACATCACAAGTGTAAAATTCTACACCTGACTCAATGTGAAAAATTACTGTCCAAACACAATTGTCCTAAAAATATTTAATAAAATTACCTGACATAAGTAAATTTCATGTTTATACCTGAGTCAAATCCCCAGTGTATCTAATTATGTATATGCAAATATTCTAAAATCTGACATCTTATGTGGTCCTAGTCCCAACGTTCCAGGAATGGATATTTAACCCATACAATAAAATCTGTAGAGTGGCCAAATCAAGGTTACTGAATGTACTATAAGTGGGCACCCAAAGAAGACTAGAGAAGCAAGCATGGAATAGATACTATAAAAATGGGCAATGGCAGACTAAAGAGTTTAGGTTTCATTTAGTATGGCACAGGGACAAATCACTGGGCTGGTAGTTTGTAAATATAGAGAAACATAATCAGGAGTGAGCTTTAGAAAACACACAATGATGTCTCTAGGAAAGACTTGTGAGGGTAAAAGATTAGGGAGTGACCAGCTAGGACATGATGAAACTGATTGTGATCAAAGATAATAAGAATCTGGACCAGTACTGGAAACAGGACAAAGACTATTTGATATACCAAGATCTGCCATATGGACTGTAGGATGAAAGTAAGGAAAAGGTAGCAGATTTGTGAGACTGGATGAAAATGCAGTTGGGGGAAATAGAATTAGTTCAGCTTGAAGAGTTTTAGCTTGAGGTACCTAATGTCAGAGAAGACATCTAGCAAACACGTGTGTCTTACACTTCAACATTTAATCCAATATTATTGAGGATAAAATAAAAGTGGAGTTTAAGAATATGAGCACCACAGGTCATGTATTACCATTTGTCATCTCTGTGTCAGACTATAAATTGATGGAAGGTAAATTTTCCTGTATAAGTTGAGCTTTCCCTAGGTGATAGCATTTGGTTTCATTTCATGATGCCATTGCACTTTTATCTTCAGACAATATTCATTAATGCATCAAGTCTCCAAAACAAATAATCCGTTTATCTCTAGGACAGACGACCCCTTCCAAAGAGAATCCCAGAAGTGTCAGCTCCACAAGATACACTGCTAAAAAAAAAAAAGTCTACAGTCAAAGCTAAAAATTTAGAATACACATATATCTATTAACATCTCTGAAAGTAGTACAATGAAGAAGCGTGTACAATTATCTCTAATCCACAGCTTTTCTTTTCTTTCACCGTATTACCATGATGAGATACAGTGAGGCATGCACAGATAAGAGGATCCAGAAAGCATTCCACAGTTTTGTTAATGCCCAGCTTCTATGGAAGAACACAGAATTCCTGTAGACACTCAGGAAACACAGTGTGGCGGGAGGAGCGTGTGATGACTACCTGCTGGCCAAGCTAGTTCAGTTCCATTCCTAGGAGCCTAACGAGGTACGGAGGCTAGTTGTAGTTGTGTAACTGGTACTGATAATGAACTTTGAAGATAGGAACATGAATATGGTAATTGGAAAAAAAACCATTCTGGAATGTGATACTAACCAGTGAGGCTCTCTATTCGGTATCAAGCCTCACAGCGCATCCAACCCCAGGGAACTCCAGAGAAAAGAAGCAGAAACCTACAGGGAGCTTGGGAAAGTGGTCAAGCTCCATGACCAAAATCCAAGCTTGGATTCCATGTAGTAGCAATGTCATCACTGAAACCAGAAGTTAAGCAGCATGCACATCCAATGCCTTCATTTGCTTTTCCAGAGCCCGGTTTGATTCATATTTAGACTAAATATGCTGCTATTAACAAAATAACACAAACTGGTTGATCATGAACATCAGATATTTATTTCTCACAGTTTTAAAGGATAGAAAGTTCTAAATTAGGTAGTTTGTAGTAAGAGCTACTTTCCTGGATTATAGATGGCATCTTGTAGCTGTGTGTTTGCAGGCTAGTGGGGCCAACGCAGCTGTCTGGGTCCTCTGTGATGAGGACGCTAATTCCATCCACACAGGTCCTGCTTCCTGACATGTGACCGCCTAAAGGCCAGTCCTTTAGGCCTTTGTCATCACATTCACACACAATCACCTTGGTGATCAAATTCCTACACATGAATTTTTGAGGAACACAAAATTCAGATCATAGCAGACACTATAATACAAATTGTTTTTTTTTTTCCAGTGAAAACATTTAGACCTTGTAGTTTTGCATGTCTGATCCTTTAGTTATCTCAGCCAGTGCTATAGCCTGGCAGGCACAGCAGTGCAAACCCACAGAGCACCACTGCCATCTGCTGTGCCTACCAGAGGGAAGAATTACCCCTCTGAGCAGAGATGCTGAATGGAAGCATAATCCAATCCCTTCTCTGATTATTACTCAGTGAAGTTGCCTTAATAGCGTACTACACAGTGGTAACTTTTACTTTCTCCCAGTCCTGCAGGCTGGATGTCCAAGATCTAGATGTAAGCAGACTTGGTTGATCAAGAGGCATCTTTCCTTGATGTGCAGATGGCACCTTATTGCTGTGTCTGCAGCCTTCTCTGTGCATCACTTTCTCTTAGATTGTATCCTATGACTTCCTCCACCCTTAATGATATTTTTTAATTCTCTCTTTGGGAAAGACAGATGTTTGGCATAGATATTAAACCACTGCTTGTGATACCTGCACCCTTGGGTTTAATTCCTGGCTCCAGCTCTTTGATTCTGACTCCAGTTTTTTGCTAATACAGACCCAGTTCAAGTCTTGAGTTCCAGACTCTCATAAAGCAGACATGGATGGAATTCATGGCCCTCGACTTCAGCCTGGCCCAGCTTTGCTAGTTATGGTTATTTGAAAAGTAAATCAACAGTTGAGAGATATTCTCTCTCTCTCTTTCCCTCTCTCTCTCTCTTTCTCTCAGTCAAATAAATATACCTTAAAACAAATAAGTGCTGTGTCTCCAAATGCAGTTACACTGAGGATTAGGTTTTCAACATACACATTTTGGAGAAACTTAATAAGCTCCATTTCAACATCTTCAAAGATAAAAGACATTCAAATAGTTAATAGAAAAATGCATTTATGAAAAACTACATTGGTAGATTTTAGGGCTTTTATGAACATATATTTATCATTTCATTTCATTTTCCGCAAACATGAAATATTCTTGTCTGTGTGCACACACTGTTTTCTAGGCATCTGGAAACATCTCTGGGACCCAGGGTGGGGCTAGCCTATGCTCACTACCCTATCATATGCCATGGGTGAGGGGTTTTAAGGATTTTGGACTGCATGGCACAGCTCCATGCCTTCTGTCCAGGTAGGAGTTCCCTGCCAGCATTTCCTGCTGTGGACTGATCTGCCTTCACAGGAGCCCCTGGCTCTAGACAACGCACCATGACCCCTGACCCCACTGAGTGGGCCAGCCACAGCAACCTACTTCTATATATTTGTGCACGAAAAATCAATGAGACGTCTTGGGAGAAAAGATTTCTTCCAGGGGAGCAGGCTCCCTGGCTGTGCTGGCTTTGTGGCAGGAATCTTCAGTGAGTCTCCTGTCACTAGACATGCTGTGTTTTCTTCCTGGCCCTCAGTCTTTTCTATTCCCTTCTACTTTTTCTTTTTGACAACATTCTATGAAAAAAAAAAATGTTTCAAGGTTCCTGGTCTAGTGAGCCTTTTATTAGATCTGTAACTCTTCACTCTCACTAAGTCCTTAGTGCTTCTGTGCAATAGTCAATACCCATGTACAGTAACAGAGCATGTACTTCTATGCTTCATCAGCCTTGCTCAGTGTGTCAATTAAAAGCAGGCCATGCAGCCATGGAAAATATCATTAACCAAAAAACTCACAAGACTTTTAAAACTGTATTATAGTTTCTTATAAATCTCTTTTTTAATTATCAGAATATAAAATGCCAGTTTTCTAACAAATTGACCGATTTTTCTTAACATAATCATCCCTCTGTATCTACAGGGCTAGTATCCACTGGTATAACTAGCCATGGGCCAAAAGTATTTGAGGGAGAAAAAAATCTCTTAAGATT